GCATCGTGGCAAAGACGTTTTGGCGGTCATTTTTTCTTACCTGACTGTAAACAAAAAGGAAAAATAATTGTTGTATGTCACAATGCTAGGAAGGGAATTTTCTGCTTGACAAAGGAAAAAAACAACTTATATACCGCTGGTGGAGTGATGAAACCTCGTAACCCTCAACTTTTTTGAAAATTGTTTTTTTTGTCTAAATGTCTTCTCCTAGTCCTTCTTCACATTGTGTCAAAAGCACTAGGTTAAATTATGAAGAGAAAGTATGAAAAAACCATACTAAAAAAACCTCGTATGTTTGCCCCTATGATATCCTGGCGTGATGAAACCTCGCAACCCTCACCTGGAGCACCGATCTGCTTTTGTGTGGTTTCATCACTCCCGGTTTGAGAGAGCGACTTGCTTATACGAGGTTCTGGATAAGCCTTCTTTATGAATTGACTTAATGGAAGCGCCCATAATTGATATTTTCTGGTGCATTTTATATGCCTGACTTAATAAAGAAATGTTTCATTCATTCATTCATTCATTCATTCATTCATCCATCCATTCATTCATTCATTCATTCATTCATTCATTCATTCATTCATTCATTCATTCATTCATTCATTCATTCTTTTATTCATCCATTTTATTTCAGTCTGTTCAGAAATTCAAATATGATCATAAGTGAAGGAGTTACATTAGATAAATCTATTTGAAATCCTGTTAAAGGGATGACTAACGTATTGGTAAACAAGACGTTCTCATAAAGCACAAACGTAGTTAACACTTAATTTAAGGCAACAGTCACACCTTGAAAAGACAGGTGACAATAGTCCTTACTAAGAATAAGTGACAAGTCTATGCACTCTCCAGATGTCACCTGGCCATTTTGTTTATCAGAGAGAGGGGAAGGTTTCACCCCTTCTCAGACTATGAATCCGCTGATTAGTCGAATCTTTCAGTCGTGGTTGAGACCAAATAGTACTGAATCTACCCATGTTCTTCTTGACCCTGAAGTCTGTAGAGGACATTGTGATAAATTTGTGCCTCAACAATACAAGTGATATGGACATTTACGCATCTGTTTTGAATATCTAACCCCAACTGTGCTCGCATCAACTAGATTTTTACACCATCCAAGGGCTGGTTTGGAAACCACTGAGCAGACCCCGTTCCATGAATTGACTCCAGCTACCATTTCGAAGTCCTTTCCAGGGATGTGTCTAAGATGTGTGTGTTGTGTGGGGGGGGGGGGGGGGGGCAGCATCATCCCGGGCTGAGTCTGCACCAACACCAGTGTCACCTGGAATCACGCCCCAAACCATACTGACGTTTCACCAGTCAGCTGTAAGTTAGCTGCTGTATTATTATCTGCGGAGTCACAGCAACACGATCTGAAAACTACATTCCTTGGTCCATCTCACCTTCAGGCACCGTAGCCACTTTTTCTGGAGCCTGATCCAGAAACACAGCTCATTTGGGATGCCACAGAGGAAAATAAAGGGTTTTCAGGGGTGGCAACAGATAAGCAAAGGCCATCCGTGGATCTGGTCAGGAATACCATAATGATTCAATGAAAAGCCCAGCTACGTCACTGAAACCAAACTGTGATTGCAAGAGCTGAACTCAGAAATGTAAAGGGCAAAGGGCTCTCGAGGAAGACAGACACATTAATTTTGATCATGGGATGAAAACAAAGGTCTCTTTATTGGACTAGTGGACATACACCTACCTCAGAGGAAGCATTCAAACACTAACCAGATAGGGCATAGCTTCAAATACACATTTAACAAGGTGGTCATAAAGTGCCAGTGTGTAAAAAGATGTTCCTGCATTCAACTAGGTCGAGTGAATGATTTGTAAGAAACGTTTAGAACCAGTTATCAAAGGAACTCAGATATCTACAAAATGCATACATACACAATTCTGCCAAGACCACGGGAGGTAGCGTCTCAACAGGCATCCCCCCCCCCCCAATCAATGCAACAATCAGGAAGAAAAGCCTGTCTTGTTCATGCCAAAGAAAGATATGTGCGACCTTTGCATTATCCGTGAAGTTGACAACGTGCGGATGATGTTTGGAATGCTCACACTCTAGAAAAGGGGCAGCGGGCAAGGAAACGGAACGAGAAAAATCTGAAGCCATCAAATATCTCGCCAGTGATGAACCAAAAACGGCGCATGTTTCTATGGATCTCCAGCTTGTGCTCCTTACACTTACACTCACTCAAACTGAATGCATCAGCCTTATATTACAAAACAAAGCGTGTCGTTCATAACTCTACGATATTTGAAGCTGCAACACATCAGACTACTTGTTACGTGTGGCATGAAGCAGAAGGGGGAATTAGCAAATAAGTTTGCTTAATGTCTACTGGCTTTCTTGAAGGAAAATCTGTACTTCCAGAAAACCATCATTGACAGCGACTGCTGTGGTTACCAATACAGAAATGCCACACAAGCCAATGTTTCTCTCAGCCTGTTTGCAACAACACATGGTAGCACAATTGAACAGAAATGGTTGATCAAAGGACACACAAATGTAAGTTGACTGTGCACTCAACTATTGAAAGATCGTTCGAAAAGCACTAATCGAGGTCGACCTACACTACCTCCATTTCTCCAGGATGGCCAGAAAAAAACCAGACAAATATTTGGATCACACATTATTCTAAGGGAGGAAGCTACAAGTCTATCAGACCAGGAAGAAAAACGGGTGATCCTGTCGCCACCGACATCAGGTGTTTGAAGTACACCCCAGACATGAACATCCAGTTCAAGCTGCACTTCAGTGATGATGGCCATCCAACTACACAACTGAACACAGAACGTCTTAAAATCCAGCACTCCCAAGTACAATCACCTGTAGGAGCTTGAATCTGTTATTTCCAATATACGTCATCACTTTATAACAGTTTACCCCCTTATCATTAATAGCTATTCATTATTTTTTTTGGGGGGGGGGGGGGGGGGGGAGTTAAGTCCCAGACATCGTACTGATCTTTTGGGAGGGTTTTGTCCGCACGTACGTTATGTATTTTCATAATTAACCAAATTAGTATTCATGACCCACCACCTTTTATTTGATTGACGTCCTTCATTCGTTTTTCAAAGCATTTATTTGTGTTGGGCGTTTGTGTGTATGTGTGTGTGTGTGTGTGTGTGTGTGTGTGTGTGTGTGTGTGTGTGTGTGTGTGTGTATTACATTGTTTTCTTAATAAATTTTGTAATGGACTGACGCGTTAAAACTTTGCAAAACAGGTTTATATTTTGATCTAGATTTATTTCTTTCCATTGTGAAAGCCATCTGTAGTGCAACCAGAGACCATATTGCAGAGATATACTATTCATTTGTGCTTTAAAAAAAAATGGAAGTAACCAGATCTAATCCTGGAAAATTATATAGAAACAGATTGCAAAAATCGCTGATCCGTTTGAGGTTTCAAACCCAAATTCTGCAGATAACACACATTTATTTGACTTCAGTTGGCCGGGAATCCACCTCTAAGCTAATTGATCTTGAAGAAACATCTTCTTCACTATGTGGCGTTCCAAACAACAGACGCATACTGCAACCAAATGAGCAGCGAGAAAACTCGCAACCCTCAAACTCTGTCCTGATGAAACCTCGCAACCCACCCGCCGGCTGACAACGAGGTTTCATCACGACAAAAATGTTGTAATGAAACCTCGCATCCCACAGCGTAACCATTTAAACAGTAGAAAAGTTATTTTTATGTACTAACCACGTTTCTAAGGTGTTTTTATTTATCTGTACCAACTTTGGTTCATATAGATTATTTTGTTCCCGAGTAAATCAGTTTTTTGTCTCTCCTGTAAAATTTTCCTTTCTGGGGTTGCGAGGTTTCATCACTCCACCAGCGATACGGAGTCGCAAACGTTCTGTCACACCTTTTATACTACAATGATTTTCGTTACAGCGTAACAATTGCAGCAAAAATGAAAAAGTATGACTTGT